TCATACCGACAAAAAGAGAAGACAAAAATTACCAATATCAGAGTCACTGAAGAACCTATAGGTACTACAAAGATACTGCAAGAATATTGCAAATAATTGTATGCCTATAAATTAGACAATGTAGATGAATTGGACAACTCTTTAAAAGGCACAAACTATCAAATTTTATTAAAGAAAAGCTAAACCTCAATAGCCCTATATATGTTAAGAAAATTAAATTTACATTTAAAATCCTTCTCTACCAAAAAACAATAAAGACTCCAAATCCAATTAACTTTGCTGGTAAATTCTATAAAACCTTTAAAAAATAAATAATATCATCTCTACATAAAAAATTATATAAAGGAAAATAACTCTGCCTGATTCATTTTATGAAGGCAGTATTACTCTGATACCAAAATCAGGAAAAGAAATTACAAGTAAAGAAACTTAATATCTCTCATGAACATAGCTTCCCAAATCCTAAATGAAGTATTACCAAATCAAATCCAGCAGTATAACAAGAAAAGCTTTTAAGTAATGATCAGTGGGGATTTAATCTGGGAATACAAATCTAGTTCATTATTGAAAATGTATCTAGCTGGGCATGGTGGCTCACACCTTTAATCCCAGCACTTCAGGAGGCTAAGGTGGTTGGATCATGAGGTCAGGAGTTTGAGACCAGCCTGACCAATATGGTGAAACCCCCTTCTCTACTAAATATACAAAAATTAGCCCAGTGTGGTAGCACTCCGTATTCCCAGCTACTTGGGAGGCTGAGGCAGAAAAATTGTTCGAACCTGGGAGGCAGAGGTTGTAGTGAGCTGAGATTGCACCACTGCACTCCAGCCTGGATGACAGAGCAAGACTCTGTCTCAAGAAAGAAAGAACAAGAGAGAAAGAGAGAGAGAGAGAGAAAGAAAGAAAAGAAAATGTATCTATATAATCCACCATATCAGTAGACTAAAGATCATGTCTGCAAAAAGAGTATATTTGAAAAATTTCAATATCTAATTGTAACAAAAACAGAACATTCATAAACTGATAAAGTGCCTCAATTAAAAAGCTATAGCTAACAGCATACTTGATGACTGAATTCTTTCTTATCAGGCCAGGAAACAGGTAGGGGTATATACTCTCACCACTTATATTAACCACTGTACTGGAAGTCTTAGCCAGTGCCATAAGGCAAGAAAAAATAAAATGTGTAAAATTGGTGAGGAAGAAATAAAACTGTCTATTCTCAGATAACACAATTGTCTACATAGAAAACTGCAATAAATTTTTTAAAATTTAGAATAATTGAGTTTAACAAGGTTGTAGAATGTAAGGTCACCATATAAAAATCAATTGAATTTCTATAAGCAATGAATATATGAAAATCAAGATTTTAAATAGAACTCTTTTACATAAAATATGAAAATTTTAGGCATACACACACACACACACACACACACACACACACAGCAATATATGTACTAGTCCTGTATGCTGAAAACAAAAAAGTGAAGAAAAATAAAAGCAAACCTAAGTAAGTGGAGATATAGCATGTTCATGGATTGAAAAACTCAAGTCTGACGAGGCACAGTGGCTCATACCTTTAATCCCAGCACTTTGGGAGGCAGATTACCTGGGGTCAGGAGTTTGAGGACAGGCTGGCCAACATGGTGAAACCCCATATCTACTAAAAATACAAAAATTAGCTGGGTATGGTGGCTCATGCCTATAATCCCAGCTACTCAGGAGGCTCAGGCAGGAGAATCACTTGAACTTAGGAGGTGGAGGTTGCAGTGAGCTGAGATTGCACCACTACACCCTAGCCTGGGTGACCTAATGAGACTCTGTCTCAAAAGAAAAAGAAAGAAAGAAAAACTCAGTCTTGTTAAGAGGTCAGTTCTTCTTACACTATCATTTCAATGCAATTTCAATCAAAATCACAGCAAAGCATTTTATAGAAAATTGATATGGAAAGACAAAGTAATGACAAAACTGTTTTGAAAAAGAACCAGGTTGAAGGAGGCTTATGCTATCTGATTTCAAAGCTTCTAATAAAGCCACAGTAATCAAGGGTGTGTGATTTTAGACAAAATTAGAATAGAGGATTGGAATAGAGACTCCATAAACAAATCCACATATACATGATCACAAACATACAAAAGGTAGTTCAATGGAGAAAGCAGCTTCTTCAACAAATAGTGCTGAAGTCACTAGACATCCATATGCAAAATAATATCATTGTGGCCAGGAGTTTGAGATCAGCGTGGGCAAAATAGTGAGACCCTATCTATCTTCACAAAAAAAAAAAAAAAGCCAAGTGTGGTGGTGTGCACCTGTAGTCCCAACTACTCAGGAGGCAGAGCTGGGAGGATGGCTTGAGCTCGGGAGATCAAGGCTGTAATGAGATATGATCATGCCATGGCACTCCAGCTTGAGCAACAGAGCAAGACCATCTCAAAAAAATTGTAAACAAATATTTCTAGCAGCTTTATTCCTAACTACCACAGCGTAGAAACAACCTAAATGTCCTTAAATAGATAAAGGGATAAACAAAATATAGTACATCCATGCAAAGAAATACAACTCTGCTATTAAAATGAAGTAACTACTGATATATGCAGGAACGTGGGTGAATTTTAAGAGCATTCATCCAAGTGAAAAGAGCCTATGTAAAAAAAATCCTTTTATATGATATTTTGGAAAAGGCAGAATTATAAGAACAGAAAATATATCTGTGGTTTCCAGGTGCTAAGGATGAGGGAGAGGTTGACTAAAATGGAACAGCACATAGGAATCACTGAAGATAAGAGAGTTCTGTGTCTTGAGTGTGGTGGTTGTCACATAACTATGAATATTTGTATGCTAATATAAGTAGATTTCATGTAAACTAAATGAACTAAAAAGTACATTTAGTTCTAACCATGGATGTAATGAATTCCTATCATGTCATTTCTGCATCCGTTTTGAAAGTAGGTTTAACTTTCTCATTTCAAAGCAGGCTTAGTCACCCTGGACACAGTTTCCAGCTTTCTGCCTATTCCTAGTTTCTGAATGTGCTTAATCCAGGTACCTGCCTTATACAACTGGTTCCTGATAACCACCTCTACATGGGGCAGCTAGATACAACCCACTAGACAGGCCCAACTGGCCCCACTGATCCCACATGCCATGCAGACTGCACAAATATGCTGCAGTGACCAGCTCTCAGTCATAGCATGACCCCATGGGATGCATGCCTGCTTGCTCTAAACCCACCACCTAGAACCCTCTGAAGGAAACAAGCTTAAGTAACAACACCCTGGACCCCAACAAAGGCCTCGGCCCATGGGTTCATCTTTCTCTCTGGCCCCCAACCTGTTGGTTGAGCATATTGTCCCTGTGACCTTCCCACTGGCCCTCGTTGGTACCCCTCTTCTCTCATGTTTGGTGCCATAAGAAAATGCTTCTGCTGTTTCATGGGTTTTTGTTGTTGCCTCCTCTGTCCATTATACTGGCACACTTGAACCTAACTTTTCTCTTGGTCAGGGTTCTCCTAGATTGGCTATCTTGGCAGAAATGAACTGGATACAGGTCAAACAAGAGGCAGAAGAGCATCTGCCAACATAAATAAGTTTCCTGTGAAAGGGACACTTGGTCTCATGTCAGATACTTAGGCATTGGGCCATCCACGTGGATAAAAGACATGTGAAAGACACACTTAAACATCCATGACCAAATTCTCCAGACAGGACAGGTGTACCGGCTCAGGCCTGTAATCTCAGCACTTTCGGAGGCCACAGTGTGAGGATTGCTGGAGCCCAGGAGCTTGAGACCAGCCTGGGCAACATAGTGAGACCCTGCCTCTAAAAATGATTTCCTGGACCCCCGCTAAGGCAGTGTTAGGGTTTATGGCCATTCTCCAAAGAGAGACCTCAAGACCAAATTAGAGAGGAATACAACGTGATAGTGGTTCCATCTTTGTTGATACGATGCAGCAGTGTTAGACACACAACAGGGATTTTTGGTGTTACTTTCAATGTGAGCACAGCTCATACATTAATGCATAGGGAGGGTTGGCAAAAAGCTCAGAAAATCAAATGTAAGTTGGGGCCAAATTAGGAAGGTTTTGTCCACATGTGGGAAAGGTGTCAACAAGGAAGAACCTGAGGCATCTGTGGGACCGAAACATAGTCTTCTGGGCACAGGTGCAGCAATAGAAAGGCTGGTGGAGCCATCACAGGAGAACCTGAGGCATCTGTGGGACCAAGACATAGTCTTCTGGGCACAGGGGCAGCAATAGAAAGGCTGGTAGAGCCATCACAGTGTAAATAAGGAAGCTGACATTTCCAGAAATAACTAATAACTATGGGAGAGTGGATCTAAGGGATATAAACACAGGAAAGACAAATGAATGTTTTATAAGTCCAATTTATGAAGCACAGGAAAACACATGACAGGGACCTGTTTTTCCTCCAAGACAAGAGGAAAAGATCAAGCCCAACTGTCCTCTCACCAAGAGCCATCTACATTGTCCCTACTGCCAAACTAAGGCACACACCTAAAGCCAATTAGCAAAGTGCTTGTTGGTGGTCAGTAGGAGGTCAGTGACTAGATCTGCTGTATTTTTCAGTCCTAAACACGCCAGTGGCCATGTTGGCAATTGAGTAAAGCACTTTCCAGTGGCAACTTTTGTTTGCATTATTTTACACAATCAATGAAAGGTTTACCATGGTCCTTGAGTTGCTCTCTCCTATAAATAACATAATATGTTCCAAAAAGGAGATCTGGACACCCAAAGAAACATAATTGGGCTCAAAGGTTCTTCTTGGTGGACAAAGGCAGTGGTTTGTGCAGTGCTGAGTTACCTTATTAAGGAAGAGTTGTAAGTAATCTTAAAATACTATAGTGATAGAAAAAAATCATTGACTTCCCTCTTCTCTCATTTTTGTTCAAGGAAAATTTTATTCAAATGAAAACAGAAGCTTTTACATTTGTTGTTTCTTTGTCATGTTACAAATTACTTCTCAAAAAACAAACACTTTATATAATAAGCAAAAATAAATACACATATTATAAATTCATATTGAATTACATCTAATAACATGCGTAAGAACAAAAAAGGTTTTATAGTCATTTTTTAAATACAAACAAAAACACTGCCAATATCAAAGTACTAAAAACTATTCTGAATTATTTCAAAAGAATTACACAAAAATGATTTTTTTTGGCTCTTTGTCTTCACAGAATTTTCTGGTATGCTTGAGATCAGCAGAAGTTAGAACAATTATAGTTTTTAAAAAATAGTTTAAAAAATTGTTTTAAGATGACTGCAACCTCTGCCTCTTGGGTTCAAGCAATTCTCCTGCATCAGCCTCCCGAGTAGCTAGGACTACAGGCATCCACCAACACGCTGGCTAATTTTTGTATTTTTAGTAGAGACAGGTTTCACCATGTTGGCCAGTATGGTCTCTATCTCTTGACCTTTTGATACAACCACCTTGGCCTCCCAAAGTGCTGGGATTACAGATGTGAGCCACAGTGCCCGGCCCTAAAAAGTTTTTTAAAAAAATAAAGCCAACTTGGAAGCCTAGAATAAGAAGTCTGAAGTTGCAAACATTTGTTTTATCTTCCTAAACCTAAAGAAAGGGTCAGTCAGGGGACACAGCAGGGGGACAAAGTAATATCACAACGTGGGGGACAATTTGACACACGGTGACAATAAATTTTATTCAGTTGTAGTGTGAAGAGTGGTCTCTGGGAAAAAATAACAATAAACATGCTGCCGCCTCCTCAGAAGGTCTCCCCCTTGTGAACTTGCCATCTTCCTCCTGTCTCAGTACTCAAGGCCCACAGAGATTAGAAGGCATAGGGGCTGACTTGAAACCACCTTTGCAAAAATCATAACTGAGAAAATTATTACAGTTTAAGATATCTGAACTGACTTCATCCTGCTTCTAACCTCCAAGCTATTCTTGTTCATTCCTGGTGTGCATGTGGAACTAACTTTGGGAGGAACTTAGATTATAGTTTTAGCTTTGAAACACATACCATAACAGCTCTTTCCCAGAACAAGCCCCCTTTCTTGCCTGGGGACTAGACTGCCTTCGCAGGACTAACAAATTAGCCACAAATTGGAAATTATGGTTTAGGAGTCACTGTTGCAAAACCTGAGATCACTCCTTGAGATATTTTTGCAGACCCTACATTCCAGTGTACCAGTTGACACCACCTAGATCGATAAACTGGCTCTTCTGGTCTTGTAACCCGTCCCCCACCCCCTTACCCTCCCAATAGACTCAGCACAAGAGGACAGTTTCAACTCCCTATGACTTCATCTTTGACCTGACCAATCAGCACCTTCCACTTTCTGACCACTCCTAACCACCAATTTATCCTTAAAAAACCCATCCCTGAATTTCTGGGGAGATTAATTTGAGTAATAAAATTGCATCTCACATGTGATGTGGCTGGCCTCGTTTCAAACTTTTTTTTTTCTTCTTTTTTTGAGATGGTCTGGCTCTGCCGCCTAGGCAGGAGTGCAGTGATGCAATCACCACTCACTGCATCCTGCATCTCCTGGGCTCAAGCAATACTCCCGCCTCAGTCCTCCAGGAGCTGGAACTATAGGCCGCATCACCACACCCGGCTGATTTTTATATTTTTGTAGAGACAGGCTTCACCATGTTTTCCAGGCTGGTCTGCAACTCCCGGGCTCAAGAGATCCTTCTGCCTCTGTCTCCCTAAGTGCTGGGATTACAGGCATGAGCCACCCCACTGGCCTAAATTCTTTTCTTACTGCAATGCTCTGGTCTTTATTTATGCAGCAAACCCATTAGGGGGTTACAGACTCAGTCAGGTGCTCGAGGAAAGGGGCTTAGGTCGCCGGCCCCAAGAGCCCTGTGACTACGGCTCTCAGCTGGGCCACAATGGCAGATAAGAAACCAAATGGCAGGTTTCTTAGCCTTGTGCTCCAGGTTGTGTCAAGGTTCCTGAGGCCTTGACACCCTCCCTGCTTTCAACCTGTGGCTACCTGAGGGTACTCCTCATCCCACCTGTCCCCGAGTGTGGGCCTGCAGGACCCAGCTTTGCGATCTGCCTCTCCACGACGTGGAGACAAAAGGTCGAGTCCCTCCAGGGCAGAAGCGGCTTGGCCTCGGGCTCCTCCTGCCGCAGATCTGGCTTTCCCCGCGACCATGAAGGGCCGCAGGGCTCCGCCAAGGGCTAACCTCTGCTGTGGGGCTTCCCGGAATGTTGCCGACTCGGGGACAGCCCGGGCCGCGTCCAGACCCCTCGTGCTTCAGGTGCGCACTGGCCACTCGGACGCGCGGTACTGATCCTCCCAGAAGCGGGTCAGAGGTTGGACACACTCCACAGGGCCAACAGACCCCAAGCGAGGCCCTACTTCTGGGGGCTCCTTGGTGGGATGCAGGGCTCTCATTAGAGTCCCCATGGGGTCCCTCCTGTGGAGACAGGCAGGAGGGACCCCATGGGTACTGTAATGGCAGCCGAGGGGCACGCCAGGAGCTGAGGGGGGGGGGACCACTGTGGCTGCCGCACTCTCCCGACCATTCTGAGAGGGGGGCTCCTGCCTGCCTATCCCCATTTTTAGCCAATACAATAAATAGCAAAATAGCAAGGATCTTTCCCTAAGTGCTAAGAAAGGCCCACCTGTGCGCTTCTGGAGAGCTCCTGGAGAAAGATGAGATATAACCAGACCTTTATGCCTATTATAAGGCACAAAGAAACGTATAAACTGAAGGTGTATAAAGATCTGCGACTTTTCCAAGAGGAAAGGCGTTAGTCTGCCTTCTGGGCAGAACCAGGAAATTGTCCAGCCAGAGAGACCGAGGTTGATCTGAGGATCGCGCAGATTCAGCTTCTTAGTGCCAAGAGGAAGTGGCTAGTTTCAGCGTCAACGGTTCCCATGGTGACTCTCCCCACTTCCGGCTGGACGCAAACACCCGGCTAATACGGGGGTAGCCCTTGGCAACTAGAATGCAGTATCCCTAAAGCCTCTGCATTCTCTGCGATTGTGGGATCCTGACTGTCTGGCAGCAGCTGCCCGTGCCTGAGGCCCCGAAAATGTAAAGACAGTTTTTTGGCTTTGCAGGGCATGGCGAGGTGAAGGGTCTCATACTCCCTACTTGGGGATCCTGGAGCGTTGGGGGTGGGTGTGGAGAAGGAGGCTTGGGGAGGAAAGGAGTTAGTGGCCTGGACACAAGACCCTAGAGACTTGTCCAGCTGCCCCCACTCCCAGGTCCAACCAGCCCAGCCCTACTGGACTGGCAGTCAGGGCTCACTTTAAGAGAAATGGGTGACGTTCCATATTCCTAAATCAGACTTAATATTATTAAGGTGCCAATACTCCTGAAATTATTCTACACATTCAATAGGACTTCCTGCCAAAATCCAAGCTGACTTATTTGCAAAATTAGACAAGCCGATCCTCAAATTCACATGGAAATTTAAGGGACCCAAAATAGCCAAAATAATATTGAAAAAGAACAAAGTTGGAGGACTCACATTTCCCAACTTCAAAATTCTACAAAGCCACAGTAATTAAGATATACAGATACTCAGTACTGGCATAAGGATAGACATATACATCAATAGAATAGAATTGAAAGTCCAGAAATGAACCCTTATATTAAGGTCAATTGATTTGATTCCTCCCTCCTTCCCTCCCTCCCTCCCTCCCTCCCTCCCTTCTTTCCCTCCTTCTTTTCTTTTTCTTTCTTTCTTCTTTTTTGATATAGGGTCTTGCTCTGTTGCCTGGGGCTGGAGTGCAGTGGTGTAGTCACCACACCTGGCTTTGTTTTTTTTGTAGAAATGGGGGTCTCACTTTGTTACCCAGGCTGATCTCAAACTCCTAGGCTCATGCAATCCTCCCACCTCAGCCTTCCAAAGTGTTGCAATTACAGGCATGAAACACTGTGCTGGGACTGATTTTCTTTTCATTGTTATCGTGTGTTGTTGTTTTTTTCTGGGGAGGGGCAGGGGGGACAGGGTCTCACTCTGTCACCCAGGCTGGAGTGCAGTGGCACAATCCTGGCTCACTATAACATCGACCTCCTGGCCTCCTGAGAAGCTGGGACTACAGGCCTGTGCTGCCACACCTGGCTTATTAAAGAAAAAAAATTGTATGGAGACAGTCTTACCATGTTTCCCTGGCATGTCTGGAACTCCTGGCTCAACTGATAATCCTGTCTTGGCCTCCCAAAGTGCTAAGATTACAGGTGTGTCACTGCTACTGGCTTGGTCAATTGATGTTCAGCAAAGGTGCCATAACTATTTACCAGGGAAAGAATAGTCAACAAATGTTGCTGGGACAACTGGATACCCACATGCCCTTGAGAATGAAGTTAGACCCCTACCTCACCATACAGAAAACTCAAACCAAAGATCTAAATGTAAAATCTTAAGGCTGGGCATGGTGGCTCACATTGTAATCCTAGCACTTTGTGAGGCTGAGGTGGGCAGATCACTTAAGGTCAGGAGTTCAAGATCAGCCTGGCCAACATGGTGAAACCCTGTCTCTACTAAGAATATGAAAATGTGTCAGGTGTAGTGGTGTGTACCTGTTGCCCCAGCTACTCAGGAGGCTGAGGCATGAGAATTGCTTGAACCTGGGAGGCGGAGGTTGCAGTGAGCTGAGACCATGCCACTGCACCAATGCACTTCAGCCTGGGCAAGAGAGAAAGACTTTGTCTCAAAAAAAAAAAAAATGAAGGAAATCTTAAACTATTAGAAGAAAACATGGAAGTGCATCTGTATGACCTTGGATTGGGCAATACTTTCTTAGGTATGACACCAAAAGCACAAGAGACAAAAGAATGTGTGTATATATATATATATATATATATATATATATATATATATATACTGGAATCATCAAAATTTTAAATTGCACTTTAAAGAACTCCATCAAGAAAGTAAAGACATAACCCAGAGAATGGGAGAAAATACTTGCAAATTGTTTATCTAATAAGGGACATGTACCCAGAATACTGTAGAACTGTAACAACTGAATAATAAGAACAAATGATACAATGAAATAAATGGGCAAAGTATTTGACTAGATAGTTTTCCAAAGTAGATATATAATGGCCAGCAAGCACATGAAAAGATGCTGAATATCATTAGCCATCAGGGAACTACAAATCAAAATGGCGGTGAGATACCCTTTCCCACCTGCTGTCTTAACTGTAATCCAGACGACAGATAACAAGTATTGGAAAGAATGTGAAGAAATTACAACTTTCATACATTGCTGGTAGGAATGTAAAATGGTGTAACCACTTTGGAAAACAGTCTGGCAGTTTCTTCAATTAGTAAAACATATCATATGACCCAGCAATTCCACCCAAGTTATATACTTAAGATAAATGAAAATGTGTCCACACAAGAACTTGTACATGAATGTTCATAGCTGCAAATATTTTATAACAGTCATTATGTGGAAACAACCTAAATGTCTATCAGCTGATGAATGAATAAACACAATGCATTATTTTCATAAAATGGAATATTATTTGGTCATAATAAGAATTGAAGTACCAATACATGCTACAATGTGAATGAACCTTAAAAACATGCTAAGTGGAAGAAGTCAGTCATAGAAAACCACATATAATATGATTGTATTTATATGAAATATCCAGAATAGGCAAATCTATAGAGACAGAAAGATCAGTGGTTGCCCAGGGGGAGGGGCCTGGAGTGTGGTATCGGAGTTTCTTTTTTGGGTAGTAAAAGAGTTCTAAAAATTGAATGGGAGGCCAAGTGCAGTGGCTCAGGACTGTAATCTCAGTGCTCTGGGAGGTTGAGGCAGGGGGATTGCTTCATCCAGGAGTTCAAGACCAGCCTAGGCAACATAGCAAGACCTTATCTCTATAATAAATTCTTTTAATTAAAGGAAAAAAAATGATCAGGGCAGTGAATGCACAAGTCTTTGAATATACTAAAACCATTAAAATGTAAACTTTTAATGGGTAAATTACATAGTATTTGAATTACACCCCAATAAATATGTTTTTAAAAATACTCAATGTCTTTCACTAGGGTTTGGAAGGACTTATTTTAAATGCACGAAGTGGGTTAATAGAAGAAAATGGATTTTGAAAGAAGGAACAATATTTTTTTTCTAAAGAAAAGGATGTGATAGGATTTGAAAGATGAGGAAAGCTTATGAGGGCCCTAACTCCCCCACCCTACATCTCTCATAGGCCAGACTTAAAATATACAAATTTTATACCTGGAGAATTATCACTGGGATCTTGGACACTTATTCTCCCCTAGACTCCCAGGATAGCTGTCCCCTTGCTATGTGTAGTGTGTGACATGGAAAAGGGAACTGGCCCAGGCATGAGACTTAGCACTTGAATACGTGGTTAACCAGCCATGTGTTCCTGGGTTCCTGCTGCCCCAAGTGATTCCTGAGACTTTCCTGAGCCTGCCTGATTTGACTGTAACTCAGTTGTGAGAACTTGCATCTTAGAAATGAGAACGGTGGGTCCCTTAAGGATAGAAACAGTTGAAGAAGGCCTGGGTAATGCTGTGTACTGCAGATTATTGACAGGTCTTCCACAGTACTCCAGACAAAGGCAACTTTAACTTTTGGCCCAAACACCTCTATTCTGTTGTTCCTTCAAACTAAGCCAGAGACGCCATTAAAAACCTCCATTTGCATATAGACAATTACAGAGATAGTAATAAAGCTAATTCTGTGTTCACAGCACTGCAAGAAACACAGCTGTGGATTCAATTCACCTTGTGTGGTTTGCTCTTCAAGGGATGCTTAATTCTCACCTTCAGGGAGTTTATAATTTCATTGTGGAAGCAACTTGCTCATATATGAAACCATTAACAAAATTATAGGAGTGTTCTGGTGTCTGTAATAGTAACTTTTGGAAGAGAATGCTCGTATCAGCAAGAAAAAAGACTATCATGAACACAGACCAGTACCAAAGGGTTTTATAAGGCTCCACTTTGTGTATGGCAAACCTCAGACTTGCTCTGTCTTCTGTAGGACCAAGGACCTCATGATCTGGAGCTGAAAAAAACACAAACTTAAAGCTTCTGCAGGTTATAAGATTCAAGGTGGTATTTACATATGAGCTTTGTGGATAGAAACTGACCTATTCAGCATAGAAATTGGTTGGTAGGAGTTGGGTAGGAATAAAAGGTAGAAAGATGAATCTATCACCAAACCATAGAACCAAGCCTATTTAATTCTTTCTGCTTTTTTTTAGAGGGAGTAAGTGGGAAAAGAAGAAGTCAGACTAGAAAGCTGGTGCACCTATTCCTCTTTAGGAAACTGAGTGTGATAAGAAGTGTGGGCAGGGCACGGTGACTCACACCTGTAATCCCAGCACTTTGGGAGGCCAAGTTGGGCAAATCACCTGAGGTCAGGAGTTCAAGACAAGACCTGGCTAACATGGTGAAACCCCATCTCTACTAAAAATGCAAAAATTAGCCAGGTCATGTGGTGGTGGGTGCCTGTAATCCCAGGTACTCAGGAGGCTAGGGCAGTAGAATCACTTGAACCCAGGCGGTGGAGGTTGTAGTGAGCCAAGATCATGCCACTGCACTCCAGTCTGGGCAATAAGAGTGAGACTTCATCTCAAAAAAAAAAGAAAAAAAAAGAAATGGATGTTAGGGATGGAAAAGATGTAGTAGAGAGGGAGAAGATTAGAATTAAAGTTACCCAAAACAACCTAAACAAGTCATCCTCAAAAGTGATATTAAATGACTGGTTCATGACATTTGGCAGTCTTTAAACATTTCAGAGACATCAGCTTGAAAGCATAATATATGAGGAAAAAGAACATTTGTGTCAGGTGTCCTAAGACCATCCTCAGGTTCAATGACTTGCTATAAGAACACATAATACAAAAATGCTGTTAAGCTCCCAGTTACAGTTTGTTACAGCAAAAGAATACAGATTAAAATCA